CATGTATCATCTTTGCAGACAATTTAATCAGCTTAAAGAAAGCACCTAGTAGGGCCAAGGAAAGTTCTCTAAATTCAAATCTCTCTTAAGGCTTTCACTTTGACTCTCAAAGATGTTGTGATGAAATTGTAAGTCTTAATTAATGTCGTTCTCAGTAAAGCACTTTTAGAGCGAGGGAAAGAAACAAAAACACAGGGGACAAAGTTTGAGGGTGGTAAAGTTTTCCTCATGAACTAGACTTGAAGTCATAAAATTCTTATAAGTAGCTCATTTTTGCTGTTGCTTTTAATTGCAAGTATTAGTTTAAATTTTTCTAAATGGAAGAGTTGGGTACAATGATTCTCTCTAATGTCAATCCACAAAAGCTGCATTAAATCACAAATCCCATTGGAGAAGATTTAACTACTTACTAATGTAAAAATGAAACTAAACTAAATACCTTAGTAGGTTGTTTTTGGAATCTGGATATATTTCTACTATTATGTCACCATTCCCTTTGTCAAATCCTTAAAGAATAGGTTTTAGTATAAAGTTCAAGTTTACTGACATGTTTTACCAAACCTCTAACCTTGTCCTTGCCAACATTTCCAGCCTTATCTTCTGTTTCCTTCTTCCTTAAACCTTTTGTTTCAGCCATAATGACATTAAAATAACAATGTTATTTTAAATGCTATTTCCCCTTGCCTTCCTGGCCTTCAAGTACTGTTATCTATACTGCAGATGCTCTTGCCCCCAGTCTTTGTTTAGTGAACTCTTACACATCTTTTAGATCATAACACAAAATAATCCCTTTTAAGAAAAACCTTTTCTGAATCACATATTAGGTGATTGTAACAAGATTTCTTGTTACAATCTCCGTTCTTTTATGATATCTACTTTTTGGAAGTATATATTTATGTGGTTGTTTGCCTTAGTTTTTTTTCTCCCTCAAAAGTTTAGATACTAGGTTTTATGATCACATTAACCATATTTACTTTTGTTAAATTACTGTTTTCACTTTCCCTAGCGTATACTAGCCCCACAATATATATCAAAAGAAAGAATGAATAAAATTTATTAATTAGATTGATTCCCACACCCCACCTATTAATTATGTTAGGTTCTCCTAGTATGATATCTACTATTACTGTAGTTTTCTGCTTTATAGCAATTGCGCCATTTCCCCACCCTCTGCACACACACACACACACACACACACACACACACACACACCACACACTAAGAATAACATGAAAAAGGAAAACACTTATGTGATCTCTTCACTATGACATTGGTAAAGCCTGTCATATTGCTCGGCACATAATACATTCAGAGCAAGTAGATATTAAGTGAAAGTTTTTGTTCGTGCCTTTCAACACTTCCCTCTTAGGCCAGAAATATTTCTTACTATAAATCTGTTTCAGAAAAAACTTTGGCCAGGTTATATTTCAGAGCTGCTACAGTTCTGAAGGCTAGATTCAGTGTCAAAATTCTACCAATATGAGTTTTATTACTGAATTAAATGAAGTTGACATAATGGAAAAGGGAAAATTAGTCTAAAATTCTATATTCTATTGATACATATCCTCAGTGTCACTGAGTCTATGAAGAAAGATCTAATTTGGGAAAAGCTATATTAACTAATTAAAATCTAATGTACCCTTTTCTGTAAGATCTGCTCTACCATCTCCTAATAGATTATATTTCTAAAATATATGATAATTGCAATATGGTCAAGAGACAAAAATACTGTGAACTATTTGTAGGCCTTACATTATGTTAATGCTTGGTCCTCACCTGTGGCTTTCTGTTACTCAATACATCTAATGATTTACCAAAGCCAGATCATACTGACTTGAGATTTTATAGTTTCAGGAATTTGTGAGCAAGTTGTTAAATCACTGGCAGTTGTAAAATTGGCTATCAGATCAGTGCTTATAGTATAGGAATTGATGAATGCTAAAAATTTAGATCTTTGTCCCCAGAGAGCCACTTGTTGAATATTTACTAACAACACTGCTAGAATCTCTCTTGACAATCTATCATTATAAAAAGCCAGTGGCCATAATACCGTAATGCCATAACAACCAAATGACCGGTCACCAGGAGGTGCATTGATGGGTCCCCTGGCAGTGGCGGGAGGGACTCTGGGTCCTGTGGTGGCAGTGAGCGGAACTCTGGGTTTTGTGTGATTTTACGTGCTGGGCCTCTAGTATCTTGATAATACTTTGAATATACATTATGATGTCTATGCCACAAATTGAGTGCCATGTGAATTGACACCTGATGCATTATCTTTATCTTTGTATTCCCATCTACCATCACAGTTTTGGGACACAATTTATTTCAATAGGTATTTTAAAATTAATGGAAAATATCCTATTTAGGATTATATGACAATATAGTCCTCAGATCATAACACAACCACCACAAAATGCTGTAGTTGTTAAATAATGATAAGGCATCTAAATTTTGGTCTAATTATTTTAACACTAGAGAAGATAAATAAGAATTTCAATATTTTAATAGATGCCTTAAAGTATCAATAATGATATACATCAAAACGAGATGGTAAATAAAATTATGGGATATGAAGTATGATCTCACCTTGTAACAGGCACAGACTACTTAAATATAGCATCTCTTTACAGTGCAATGAACTTCTTCCTTGAAACTTTTAACAATTGTAGATGTTATTTAAAGAGTGAAGTGCTTTAAATATTCAGAAGTCACAAAAACAAGTCTTCTTTGTTATCTTCTTTTATACTTCCTGACACCACAGTTCTGAGAGAATATCAATGATTACTCAGAATTGTTCTCTATCCTTAGATCTTTTTTCCTATTTTTCCATTTTTTAAACATTTCTATTCTCTTGATGAACAAGATAAGAATTAATGGAAGAAAACATCATCAATCCCTTTGTCCATTTTCTCCTGAACTGCTGCTATATCTTCTTCAACCATGAACTAGTGTATTCACTGAATATTTAAATGTATCTTGGTTGAATAAACATATTAAGCCAAAGAATGAGAGATTACAAGAAATATAAATGCAATCATTACACTAAATTATTGTGAACTTTCTCCCTAGAGAAAAAATATAAGACAAAGATGCAACTTTCCTTATTTTTATTTACCACTTTATTCTATAACGAATCAGTGCAATAAGACATGGGGAAAGGAAACAGAAGCAGTGTAGTGGTTATATAAAATAAATGAAAACAGTAGTATCTAAAGATAACATGATTTTTTACATTGAAAATTAAGAAGAATCCACAGACGAATTTTTAGAATTAATAAACAACTTTTGCAAGGAGACTGTGTACAAAGCCAAACACAAATTGCATTTCTATATATTAACAATGAAGGTAAAGTTTAAATTGTTTAAATGTTAATTGTAGTAGCAGCAATACATATCATGTGCTGAAATAAATCTAACAAAATAGGTGCTCTAACTTCAGACTAAAAATTTCAAAAGAGTAGGAGAAAAATTAGAGATAGATAAATGAGTATGTATACATGTTCACAGATTGGATTTTCAAAATTATGAAATGGCAATTTTTCCCAACTTAATAGGTAGATTTATTGCTGTACTAATTAAAATGCCAACAAGGGTGTCTTTATAAGTGTCTATATAAATGGACATTCATATTTTAATATCTAGATGAAAATGAAAAGTGCTAAGACTAACTAGGAGATCTTGAAGAACTCAGGCATAGCTGGAAAACTTGCTCCACTTATCAATAGCTAAGTTACAGTAACATGAAAAATGTGCTATTGCTACAACAATAAAGTTTATCATATTAATAGAACAGAGAGTCTAAAAACAGACCCACCCATAAGTGCTCAACTAATTAATAACAAAGATGACACTGGTGCTTTAAGTTATGAATGATCTTTTCAATGGTGATTCTGGGTCCATTATATAGAGAAAAAATGTATCTAGATCTCTACTTCATACCTAACCAAAATTCAATTAAGCAGCTGTAAATGTGAAAGATAAATCTATAAAGCTTTAAGGATAAAAAGAAAAAAATTTAAAGTAAATAGGCAAATATCCTCAAATAAGATATGAAATGTACTAATCATAAAATTTAAAAAATGTATAACTTATATGACCTTAAACTTAAGAATGTCTCTTTCAGAGTTCACTTTTATAGCATGAAAACAAGTTCGTATAGTGAGAGAATATATTCTCTCACTATACGAACTTGTTTTCATGCACCAGATGTCCCGCTTTTGGCAGAACAGTCCCGATTTTTAACAATTTGTCCCAATTTGGGATTTTTTTTTAAATGCCTCGGGATGTTTTAACAAAGTGTTAAAAATCTGGACTATCTCGCCAAAAGCGGGACATCTGGTCACCTTACACTATATAGAACTGACAAAAGAGTAGTTTCTTGAATATATAAAGTTTTCTAACAAATCAATAAGAAAAAACAAATTGCTGAAACAGGTTTGGCTCAGTGGATAGAGCTTCCGCCTATGAACTGAAAGGTCCCAGGTTCGATTCAGGTCAAGGGCATGTACCTTTGTTGCAGGCACATTCCCAGTAGGGGGTGTGCAGGAGGCAACTGATTGATGTTTCTCTCTCATCAATGTTTCTAATTCTCTATCCCTCTCCCATTCTCTCTGAAAAAAATCAATAAAATATATTTAAAAGAAAAAGAAAAAGAAAAATATAGATTATCATATAGATGGACAAACTAACAAGAAATTTCACTAGAGAAGTTATCCAAAATACCAATAAATTTATGCAAATATAATAATCTTCATTGCGTATCAGGACAACATAGATTAAAATCACAATGTGATACCAATAAAACATATACCAGAATAGTTAAAGTAAAAATGATAGACAATGTAAGGTTTTAGGATATGGAGTACCCAGAACTCTCATAACCTGCTGGTATGAGTACTAATTGGTAAAACCACGCTGTAAAACTGCATAGCAGAATCTGCTAAAACCAAAAATGTGTATAACTGATGAACCAGCAATTCTACTCTTGGGTTTATACCTAGTTCAGTGTGTGTGTTTGTCAAAGATATGTATAAAAACACTCATAGCAGCAGTATCATAATTCCTTCAAACTGGCAAGAAGCCAAATTCCTATCATGAGTAAAATGTGTTACAGTCACAAAATGCAACGCCATAGCATGACAATGACAATGGACAATTTCAACTACATAGAACAATATGGATAAATCTAACACACATACTATTGAGCAGAGAAAATTGGAAAATAATACATATAGCAAGATTCCATTAATATAAATTACAAAAACAAAAAAACTAAGCTATACTGTTAGTAGTCAGAATAGAGATTACTTTCACAGGAGTATTGACTGGAAGGAAGAGGAGAGAAGATTTTGTAGTGTTAGTAATGATCTGGGGTATTTGTATTATTTTTGAATTTTGTTTCAGAGCCAATTAGATGAGGTTATTTAGCCATGAAAATTTAAGCTATACACTTTTGATATCTAATATTTTCTAATTAAACTATAATCAAAAGTTTTTTATAAAACTGAAGGTTATATATATATTTTTTTATCTCAGTATCCCTAATTTTCATTTTATAACATTCTATTGTACATAGTTTCTCTTGGGATAATAAAGTTTTGTGTTTATTAATAGAGAAAATTCTAATCCAAGCTCTTCCCCATATACACATTTTGCAATATATAAAATAAGGGAGATTGTACAAGCTATTTAATTTTAAAATTTCCATTTCTGAAATAAAAACCAGAAGGTTTATATTTAAATAATTTTATTAGAATCAACCATGGCAAGAAAGTAGATCCAACATGTGTGCCCTGAATTATTCCTGTCATCAGTCTTTTCAACATAACCAGAATATATAATTTTTCATTTTTATGATGGAAATGTACTCATTTGTCCAATTTTTCAGTCTTTAAAAATATTGTTAAATATTTAAAGTAAATACTCATGTTGAAAAATGTTATGCCTATTTCTCTAATGAAAATTTCATACTGAATTTCTCAGAAAACCAAGTGTTTCCTCTTTTTAAAAGAAGAAAGTAAAAAATAAAAAAGTGTTCAAATCACAGAGGTGATCTAAAAATAAAACTCAATGCTGCAGCATGAATATTAAGATTAAGATTTTTATAGTAATTTTGTTATTTAAAATACCCTTAGGATCATGTTCCCAAGGACTACAAATGTTCAGTGTTTTATATATTACAATCTCACTTTTATTATATTTGTAAGAAAATTATCATCCTGGTATATAAACTAGGAACTTTTATATCAGATGAAAGGGAATCATTGGATAGTCTCTTTTTTCTGATTTTATAAGTCCATTAGAGGCCTGGTGCACAAAATTTGTGCAAGGGAAGTTGTGTGTCCCTCAGCCCAGCCTGCAACCTCTCCAGGGATGTCCCACTGGGCCTAAACAGTCATACCTATCACAATCCAGGATTGCTGGCTCCCTGCTCTCCCCTGCTGACCTGGTCAACCCTAACTGCCTTCCTCTGCCAGCCTGGTTGTCCCTAACTATCCTCCCCAGCAGACCTGGTTGCCCCCAATTACCCTCCCCTGCTGGCCTGGTTAACCCTAATTGCCCTCCCTTGTGAGCCTGGTCTCCCCTACCTGCCCTTCCATGTTGGCCTGGTTCCCCCTGGCCAACTTCCCTCCCCTACAGGTCTGCTCACCCCCAACAGCTCACACTGGCCTGATCATGCACAAGTTCCCTTCCCTCTTGGCCTCTAAACACCTCTACTTCGGCCTCATCACCATGGCTTTGTCCAGAAGAACTTTGGGAAAGTCTCTTGGAAGTTCTCCCAGTCTAATTAGCATGTTACCCTTTTATATATAGAGGCCTGTTCCACAGGTGGGGGTGGGCTGGTTTCCCCTAAAGGGTTTCCTGGATCAGGGTAGGGGTTCCTTTGGGGTGTGGGATGGCCTGGGTGAAGGGTTTGTGGTGGTTTTCAGGCCAGCTACACCCCCATGGAGTGAAGGTCCCCCCAGGGGGGTGTGGCCAGCTGGGGTGAGGGGCTGAGAGCCATTTTGAAGCTGGGCACACCCTCTTCAAGGTGGGGGTTCCCATTGGGGTGCCTGGCCAGCCTGGGTGAGGAGCTGATGGCTGCTTTGTAGGCTGGTCACAACCCCAGGCAGGGACTTTTACTCCATGGGGTCATGGCCAGACTGAATAAGGAGCTGAGGGCTGTTTTCAGGCTGGCCACACCTCCCAGTGACCCAGGCCCCCAGCCAGTCCTTCAGTTTTGGCCAAGGTGGGTAGGAAGCTTGGCTTCCTCCATTGCTAGAGAGAACCCAAGCCTCCTACTCACTCCAGCTCCATGGCTGCCGCTATCTTTGTTGGGGTAATTTGTATATTCATTTTTGATTGGCTGGTGGGCATACCCGAGTGATGGTAAATTTGCATGTTTCTCTTTTATTAGTGTAGAGAAGTTTAAAGTAATAATTGAAATGAACAACATACATAAGTAGGCAGAAAACTATATTACAAAGATTATAGTGGAAATGCTAGAGATGAAATATGTACTCCAATTCAGTGAGTTGTCTTTTCATTTTGTTGATGGTTTCCTTTGCTTTACAAATATTGTTTAGTTTGATGTAGTCACATTTATTTATTTTTTTACTTTTTTTTTCTCTTGTCAAGGGGATATATAATAAAAAATATTGCTATGAGAAATGTCCAAGATTTTATGCTTTCTTCAAGAATTTTTATGGTTTTGAATCTAACATATCTGTCTTGAATTCATTTTGAGTTTATTCTTGTTTATGGTATAAGTTATTGGTCTAGTTTCATTTTTTTGCACATTGTCTGTTCAATTATCCTGACTCAATTTATTGAAGAGACTATCTTTAGTCCATTGTATATTTTTTCTCCTTTGTCAAATATTAACTGACCACAAAAGCATGAGTTCATTTCTAGGCTCTCTATTTGGTCCCATTGGTCTATTTGTCTTTATGACAGTACCATGCTGTTTTGTTTATTTTATGTTCTTTAAAACATGTATTTTTATTGATTTCAGAGAGGAAGGGAGAGGGAGAGACAGATAGAAACATCAATGGTGAGAGAGAAGCATTGATTGGCTGCCTACTGCATGCCCCACACTGGGTTTTGAGCCCACAACCCAGCTATGGGCCCTTGACCTGAGACCCTTCAGTCTGCAAGCTGATGCTCTACCCACTGAGACAAACTAGCTAGGGCAGTATCAGTTTTTAAATTACTTTGTTCTTATGGTATAATTTTATATAAGGTAGCACAATTCCTCCAACTTTGTTTTTCTTTCTCAAGATAGCTGGGTTATTTTGGGTCTTTTGTGGTTTCATATAAACTTTTAGAGTATTTTTTTCTAGTTCTGTGAATAATGCCATGGGTGTCTTGATAGAAATTACATTTAATTTATAGATTGCTTTGGGTAGTATGGACATTTTAATGATGTTAATACTTTTTAGTCATTCCATCCTCATGTTTTTTCGAATAATATGAGGAAATGTGTTAATTCTTATTTGAATATTTGGTAAATCCACTGGTAAAGCAATCTAGTCTAGGGTTTTTGTTTATTGGGAGTTGTTGTTTTTTTAATTACTGTTTCATTTCCATTAGTTATAATCTGTTTGTCCAGATTCTCCAATTCTTCCTGATTCAGTTTTGAAAGATTGTATGTTTCTAGGAATTTAATCATTTTTTCAAATTGTCCAATTTGTTGGCATACAGTTATCCATAATATTTTTATAATACTTTGTATTTTTTGGTGTCAGTTGTTATTTCTCCTCTTTCATTTCTAATTTTTATATATTTATCTTAATGATGTTATGAAACCATATGCACTTGCCTAAAATTGTATAATTCTACATTAAAAAGGTTACTTGTATTGTGTCTAAATTGTACTTTACTTTTTTAAAAAAATCAGGAAAATTTCCTTTTATTTAACAAGGCATTCCTTAATGGCCCCTATTTAAATTAGCCTCTTCTAAAAAATAACTCAATTAAATTAAATGTTCAGTAATGTGGCAGTACTAAATCAAACCTAGAACATCTTCACTTATCTCTACACTATACAAGGCAATTACTTTCTAAGTAAAAAGCTTGCAGGATTTCCCCCCAATAAAACATGTTAAGTGAAGTCAATATGAATAAAATAAAGAAATATTTATTATTTAGTAAAAATTTCAGGAATATATTATATAGTTTGATTATTTTACATAGCCAAATATGCCTCCTCACCACATATTTGCATTTATGTAATTGTTTTTCAGAAGGTATGGCAAAGCCAGGATTAGTAACTATGGCAAATAAAAGTGCATTAGCATCCTCTGTCTGTAGCCTTTTGAAAAATTGCATACTGAAATTTATGTATTTATCTGAACCACAATTTGTATCAGAATGTATTATTTTAGATAACTTAGAAACATGAAGGGAAAAAGACTCATTTTTATAAGAACAGACTTTATAAATAGAAGTTGTTATATTTCAGATATATATCAAATTACTTATCATAACCATGGCTATTGGATGATAAGTAAAAAGAGATGAACGTGTTAACAATAAGATGCAATAAAGAATTTTACAACCATAATTATTTTCAATCCCCTCAAAGACATATAGAAAAGATAGAAGCCTTGAAATATAAGCTTTCATTATTAAAAACCATTGGGAACCATTGTAAGAAGACACACATATCTATGTTAATAGCCCTTTGGGAACTAACATATTTATATTAAGATTTCATACATCTTTTTGGTTCCTCTACCTGAGTCACCAGTACAAAGAAATCTGTACTATACCTACATTCATCAACTATTCAAAACACTTTTATTGTCACAACTTCACCAGATAATTGGTCTTTCTACCTTAATTAATTTAAAATACATGTAATTTCAAAATTAAAGGACAATAGACTCAATTTTCTAATGACAGGAAAGTGCAATTTTCAAAGGTGGAGTTGATGGGGTTTTGACTAGACTAATGAGCTATTAAGGTCCTTTAAACAATCCATTAGTTGCTAACGGTTTTAGGAACATCTGTTGATGACATTGAAGTTG